CTCTACCAACTTATTCGCCAGGCTAGTGGTAAGCTGTCTTCACTGAGTGACTAAGTTCGTGGTGTGAATGGCGGCTTTATTGCTGACAATGCGACCAAGGTCAAACGCGTGAGCACTTTGAGCACCTCCTCAACTTTGATACGGAGCTCACCGCCCCCCTGCTTACAGTAGAGACTCCTCCATCTTTCACTTATCCAGTGTCATTCGACCCGCCTTCTGAAGCAAAAATCGCTGATGCCATAAAAAGGCTGCGCAACAATAAGACACCTGGAGAGGACGGCATACCCGTTGAAATCTACGAGTCTTGTGCCGACACTCTGGCGCCCTGGCTCCATAAGGTGACTGGACAAGCATGGAGAGAAGAGACCGTTCCTGATGACTGGGGCCCAGGCATCCTTGTGCCTGTCCACAAGAAGGGAGACAAGAAAAAATGTGCGAACTACCGCGACATAAGCCTCATTGACGTTGCTGTAAAGATGTTCGCCATCGTTTTCCTCAGGCGATTCCAGTCTGTGCGCGACTCCAGGACGCGACCTAATCAAGCCGGATTTCACGCTGGGCGTGGATGTGTGGATAAGATATTCATACTGAGACGGATCCTTGAATTCCGCCATAGCTAACAACAACCAGTGGCCGTTTTCATTGTTGACTTTGCTCCCGCGACTCCGTCCATCGTGACTCTCTATATCGGATAATGACATTAGATGATGTACCGCCAAAAATACTCGTCATGATCAAGGCATACCACCGCTCCACCGCTGCGCGGATTCTAGTTCACAACGATCTCTCAGAACCTTCCACTATTCGGTCTGGCGTTCGACAAGGCTGTATCCTGTCGTCCATCCTCTTTAACTACGCCATTGAATAGGTTCTCGGGAAGGCCTTACAGGAAAATGACGGTATTGAGCTTGCACTCGGGCGCCGGCTGACTGATCTCGACTATGTCGATGGTATCGCTTAACTAGCTTCAAGCTTTGGCGAGCTACAGTCTATGGCCGGGGTCGCAATCTATGGCTCGCGAGCCAGGTGTGGCTTTTTTACTGATTACAGCTGGCTCTCTCAGATAAAATTCGAATTAGAAACTTCAGATTTTGTGATTTTGGTTCTTTCAATGACGTGCCGCCCCTAGACGCGTATTGGAATCAATTTAATCTAGACCAATCTCTGGCGGTCCAGCCCCCTCCCTCCTAGGTTTGACCTAGCAGTTTTTTTCAGTGTTCCGACAGTAGCTGGTCCCCTTTTCTCCTGCGTCCCAACGGCCGCGACATGCTCACTTAATAACAGACGTTCTACTAAAGCACGACAGCCCCCAGACTTAACCTCAGTTTATCACACGCAAACAAACAGTCCGTTCACCGAAACTTGCCTTGTGTACTAATAAATCGCTCTTAACATCTAACTGTTTTCTTTTTTAATCAGACAGAATACTCTTAGTGTAGTGGTTACAGTAGATCGCACACCCTTGACCACTTCATTTCCTCTCTCTCATTTGCCCAAAGTTAACCGCTGCAACAAAGAAGATGGCGAAAAGAAAAAGAGATGAGGAGTATCGCACATTTCAGGACGAATGGGCCGAAGAATTCGCCTCTGTGGAAAGAGCAGGTTCTGCGGCGTGTCTAATTTGCAGTGGCAAGCTTACATCGATGTAGTGCCACTTCAACACAGGCCATGATACTTGGCTCTCACTGAAATATTTTTCAAAATATTTGCTTTCTTGGCTCTCTGAATCAAAAAGATTCCCGACCCCTGGTCTATGGTGTCACGGGTGAACGAGGTCGCTGAATCGGTCGGTTTGTCCATAAACGCTGGGAAGACCGACTTCGTCTCAAATGAGACAGTCCACACTCACTGCGACAACATCGCAAGGATATTCCAGGCGATTCAAGAAAGGCAATTGAGGTGGGTTGGACACGTTCTTCGCCGTCAACCTCACGAGTTCACTTTTACTGTCTTCGATCCGAAATCGTTACTTAATCGGAAACGTCGAAATGGGGGTCAGCTCAAAACCTGGTTTGACTAAGTCCGTCAGGACGTGGAAGGGGTTCTTGGACCTTCGGTATTTGGTCTTCGGCGCTGGCGAAGAGAATGGCTTGAACTATCCAGGTCTGCAGCCACGGATCGTCGCGTGTGGAGAAGCACCGTATGGGACATCAGTGA